CTATATACTCTCTATATACTCTCTATATACTCCTATATACTCTCTATATACTCTCTATATACTCTCTATATACTCTCTATATACTCCTATATACTCTCTATACACCTATATACTCTCTATATACTCCTATATACTCTCTATATACTCCTATATACTCTCTATACACCTATATACTCTCTATATACTCTCTATATACTCCTATCTACTCTCTATACACCTATATACTCTCTATATACTCTCTATATACTCCTATATACTCTCTATATACTCTCTATATACTCTCTATATACTCTCTATACACCTATATACTCTCTATATACTCTCTATACACCTATATACTCTCTATATACTCTCTATATACTCTCTATACACCTATATACTCTCTATATACTCTCTATATACTCCTATATACTCTCTATATACTCCTATATACTCTCTATATACTCCTATATACTCTCTATACACCTATATACTCTCTATATACTCTCTATATACTCCTATATACTCTCTATATACTCCTATATACTCTCTATATACTCTCTATATACCTTTCTTAGTACATAGACATCATATATATTGTCTGTACATTCGCTGTAGATATTGACCAGCTGTGAGTATATAGATGGGGTATATACATGTATGTTCTGCACACGGGCCGTGCCGTGTGTTCTGTATGTAACGTGTTCTCTGTTTTCTCCGGAGGCCGATGATACTTACATTCAGCTGAAGAAGGAGTTGGAGTATTTGGACCTCAAGGTAAATATTCTTCTCTCGTATCTTCCCGAGATTCTAACTGATTTTCCAGCCTTGTGAAGTCTTCTGGGGGCCCCGACGTGTCTGATGCGGGGGCCCGACGTACAGTGAAGGATTCTGGGACGAGATTGAAGAAATAGGTCACCAGCACTCCATGAGTTAAAATGAATGAGTCCTTTTAATGGACAATGATGTCACAGGAATCCAACATGAGCCGACGTTTCGGGGCCACACAGGGTCCCTTCCTCAAGGCAAGAGATGTGACGGTGCCATCCGTGAAGTTACTTCGAGCACCATCTATTTGATTGTTGGCCGGGACTGCTGAAAGGTGTGCGGAGGGCACCTCCATCAATTGCATCGGATTCTGGGACGAGACGTGTGACAGTCATCGTAGGATCACGGATCCCTCCACCGAAATATCGCTCCGTGTTCAGAGGGGGATTCTGTCCTATTATTGGGGGCCCCAGAACAATGACACACTGACACTTGGGGGCCCCAGAACAATGACACACTGACACTGGGGGCCCCAGAATGAGACGCCGCCGCTGCTGCCGCCTGTGACTCGCTTCTCGTAGGTTTTGATGTTTCATATTTCTGGTTGTCGTCTTTTTGCTTTTATTTCTCTAGATTTGAATCCGGTTTTTTTTTGGTTTGCATTCAGTCCGCTCGCTCGTAAACATTGCTGTGCTCAGTGTATGATATCACCGGTAGAGTGTCAGCTCTGTGACAAGGACTTGGTAGCATGACGGTGACACACAGAGGCAGCCATCTGTACAGGAAGTCATCATCATCTACAATGTAACATTCTCATCTAGTTTGTACTTTTCTGGGACATTTTGTTGCAGGCGAGGATCTGTTCCCCGGGGGCGGGGTAGTCCGTCCTCTGAGGTAGCAGCTACAAGTGTATATATATCAGGGGTGCCCACTAGCTAGATCGTGATTGGCTGTGTCCTGTGGGGCTTCTCCTCTGGATCCCCGCTGCTCTCCCCCGACCTGTATGCAGCGGGGAATGCGAGGAGAAGTGAAGGAAGCGCTGCTGCCGGTGGGGTTGGAGGACGGAGCTGAGCGGTGAGGAGAGAGTCGCTCAGCCATGGGCTCCGTCCTCCGCCCCCCCACCCCACCGGCTG